GATAAACCTGCTAAATCCTGCTTAATGGCAGGGAAGTTTAGGAGGAACAAAACTGCATCAAATACTCAGCTGGATACTTTTCACACTGCAAACTTCAGGAATCCCCAGCAGAACCTGCCTGAACGGGGGTTCCAAAAAGTTGGATGCCCAGATGTTGTAGAAACATCATGGAAGTTGTAGGTCTAAAATTACAGAGAATCTTTCTTTTGGGCACCCTTAGGCTAGAACAGGGGTAGGCAAACTTTTAGCAGTACTGTGCCAAAATAAGATTGTGATATCCCGTAGCTTCCCGGTCCTATTTTTTTTTAAATTGAGGAGTGTATGTTGCTGTATTCTGCTTGTGTTATTTATACTGTAGTTGCTTTGTAGCATTTTATATGTGTGTATATGAGCTGTTATATTGCATATGTTCATGAGTCGTTTGTGGTATTGTGTATGATACCTATGAATGTCGACTGTGTATAGGGCTTCCTCTGGAATTGAGTGTGTTGACGGACATGTCACATTGTGTGTCCGGTGGGGTGTGTATATGTGGGGCTGTTTGGGGTATTGCATGTGAGAACCTGGTTGTGGGGTTGTGTGCGTGTATTTAGATTGTTAGTGATGTTGTGTTTGTTTATGTGTGAGCTGTTTATATTATTTGTATTAGGGGATGTGGATGTCTTCCCTGGGGTCCAGTGGGGACAGTGCTGGCCAGGTACAGGTCAAGGGCAGGAACTGCGATAGCTGCTGCAGGCTGCTCTACTCCAGTGCAGATTCACATTTACAAGTGCGCATTTACAAGATTTGAGATCACTTCCTCTATGTGCTGCAATGCATAAAATTAGGATTGTCCCTCGCCACCTTTTCACCTTAGCAGATATCTGAAGTTCCATTGGGACTCCTGATAGGCCAGAGAGGCCTGTTTAGCTCTAGCAGCCTTGAGTGCCATGCAAAGATACTTCGAGTGCCGTGCATGGCCCACGTTTCATAGGTTGCCTACCCCTGGGCTAGAACATATCAAATTAAGTGAGGCTCCATGCACTTATTATTTCTGATCTGTCTTAACAAAGAGGGCTTTAGGGTGCTTTATCACCTGAAATCCCTTTGGGCTACTTATTTGTAAACATACCCCACTGTAATAAGGAATGATATGCATCTTAATTCATTTTAGCAGGGCCCTCAATGCTCTTTGTTCCTGTGAGTCCAGCTCGTTGTATTGCAATTATATGTCTGTTAGTCCACCTATTGTACAGCGCAACGGAATTTGTTGGTGCCTTTAAAATGATAATCATAATAATTGCTTGCGCTGCATTAATAGGGAACTCATCACCTGCATAGGTAATCAGGATCAGTTGTCATCTAAAGATATAATATATATAAAATACTTTTAGCATCTCAGATGTACAATTATTATTCAATCAATGCCATTCTGTATCAAATTACAAGCATATTCTATGGTTCTGTCATTTCTATCTTCACAAATATTTCTCTTGACCTAAACATTTTCACTAATTTATCTCCTTTATACCAAGCGTTTAGCTGCTCACTATGCCCTGCCTATATTGTTAAGTTTTATTCACCCCTCCCCCGATACAATAAAAATCCCTAATTCCCTCTTATCGTCTCATTTACTTCAGTAGCTGATTCCAATCTCATGCTCCAATAAACACATCCTTGCATTGGTTCTTTGTGTCTCCCAGTATAAAATTTGTAATCCAGGCACTAAGCTAAAAAAGCTGTTTTTGTGATCACATTTCAGTTCTTTTAACAACATGCACACAATGTGCTACAGGTTTTTAGGTATTCATAGTAAGCAATGTAACTGGGAGTTTGGAAAAATTAGAAAGGACAATACAATATTGTGAACTACTACAACACATATTTTTTCAGTGTCTGAAATATAATATATAAAAAAAATGATCCTGAGATGTGTATGTTGATAAATGAATGTCAAACCAAGCTGTAAAAACTCTAACACATAGTGTGATAGGTATTGTGCACTAGGCATTGCCCCAAACACTTAAATGCAGTGCCAGGACTTTCATGCCCCACCTGGCCAAGATAAGTGGAGTTACCCTCCTGGGCAGCAGCAGCTATTTGCATCTTTTGTCGTTAAAGAGGCACTATCACCGTCTGGGGCCTTTGCCAAATTTGCAAAGACCCCCAATGCTGACCCCCTGGGGGTCCGGTGGCTGGGGGGCAGGTAGAGGTGAGATTCACTTATCTGAACCTCTCTCTTGTGTGCACAGCCATCTTGTTCTCGAGCTGACATCACTGCTGCTCGAGCTGACATCACTGCTGCTTGTTCCACTGCTGTATTCTCGCACATGTGCAAAAGTACAGCATTGAAGTCTATGGAGGTATCCGGGGGGCAGAGTGGTGGGGGTGTGACAGTGCTGCTTTAATTCACTCCATTTCTGATAATGAAATTCTTGCTTCCAATGCACTTCGGGGTTAAGAATGCACAAGCAATTTCCCCCTTAAATGGTAGTGAACTAGGATGATGCACTCTGCCACAATGCATAAATTGTTCAGGAATGGTTTGAGGATCATGAAGAAGAGTTCAAGGTGTTGCCTTGGCCTCCGCATTCACCAGATCTCATTGAGCATGGAACAAAAATTGTGCTGGAACAACAAATCCGACCCATGGAGGCCTCACCAAGCAACTTGCAGAACTTAAAGGTTGCTGCTGCTAATGTCTTGGTGCCAGATGCCATAGGACATATTCAGAGGTCTTGTGGAGTCCATGCCTCCACGCATTACAATTTTCAAAATATTCAAACTGAAAACATAGCTGATTTGTAGTTTTTTATTTTATCCAATACAGCTTCCATAGTAAGCACCACTGACTACCCAAATACCAAAGAATTAAAATTTAAGGATTTCTTCCAGTTTAGCTATTCTAATAATAATTTTTGAAATGCAGCACAATTAATTTATTAATGGATAAATATCATTGTGTAAACAGCAACATGTTAAAGTATGATACGCTATTAAGAGAAATCAGGTCCTAACCCTGGTAGGAGCTATGTGACAAATCTCAAATGTTTCCCACACTGTCACCTCACATCTGCCACACTGTAAAGAATCTGTTATTCAAATATGACCTAAATCTTTTAGCCAGTAGGTTTATGTCACTACGGATATAACACACCACAAAGGGATAGAAATGACAGCCCAGTGCATGCAGCTTGGCACATCACATCATAAAATGCTGTCAAAATGGCTCTGCCTGTTGCTGCACATTATCCCTTAGCATATCAACCATCAAACTGAGAAGTAAATGAACACAGTAACATATTAACCCTTCAATGTGTAGAGGTTTAGCAGTACATCTAGACTGTTGCAGTAGTTAAAGTGTTAAAAGAACATAAAAAACCTACCATATAATCTGAGAGCAGATTTGTAAGCAATAGTATAGGCTCAAGAGAATAAAGAGTTGTAAAGTTCTACGTTCCGTGTGATGTCAGTTTACATGGTCATTTGCAATTAGCTAAGTCACATAACATGGCACAAAGCGTATTTTGGATTAGTTAAAATATGTCTCATTATTCATTTTTAAAAGCAATTTTGCTAAAATTGTAAAACAAAAGTTCTTCAAGAGATGCTCTCTTTGCGCTCCACATTTTTTGAAGTTGGGACATAAACAAATGACAGTTAGAATTTGATGGCGGTCTCCGTATTTCATTACCTTGAGCGTAAGCGGGAAATGACTATCAATTTTGGGAATGACTATTTAAAAATGGTCGGTATACTCTTCTGTTTTGGGGGTCCTTGATATAAGCAAAATATATACTATTTGTAAAAAAAAATTAAAATATAGAAAAATACTAATTCTCAGTGCAAGGTACAACCTTAATCGTCTATCTACTATATGTATATGAGATTTTTAAATGCATAGCTCAACTCATTGGCTAGTAAAGAGCTGTTTCTAATAAACAAGTAAATAAATGATTATGTCTCTGAATGACATACAGTTAGACAATAGTTCAATGTTTGACTAATTGAATGGACTGCAAAATACCTCTAAGCTCAAATTACTGAGACAATAATGTCAATATCAATTCAAAACGCTGCAAAATTATTAACTGTGACATTTCAGCTGATTTTCATTCGATGTGACAATGCACATTGTTCATTTATTTTTAGATGTCAGTATTCAAATAAAGACAGATAGATGCAATGCATTGTAATAGGACTCAGGATGTACCACATCAACAAAGCCACTTTCTATTTGGATCATTTTGGGATTAATCATTTCCTAAATATTTTACTGTTTTCCAAAATTGTTTATATTGAGAGAAAACAACCTTAAATGTAGTTACAAGAAGCCAAACATTTTATTTTTTGCTGTTTCAAATATCTGCTTTGATAAGATTGTAAATGATGTTAAGTGACCATGACAGTTATGTGAACATGGCAGTTATAAGGAGATTATCTTGAATGAGGCAAGGGTTCTTTATAGCGAGAACAATAAAGATATCAAATTCACTGCCTAGAGTGATTATTTTATAAACGTTGGTGGGTGTCACTGGAATGGCCTGAGTGCATTTCTTTGTTGGCAGTTGGTGATATTTAGGCTTATAATAAATGAATGTCAACATTATTAACATTTGTACTGTAAAACAGTGTGATAAGACAGATGCAATGAACCAAAGTGTTCATATATCTAAGGTTTCAACCTTGACCGTAATAAATCTCCCCACAGCAACAACTCTCCCAGTACACAACCCTGTACATCTCCCCTCAACCTCATAACTTCCAGTACATCTCCCAAAAACCTCATCACTTCCTGTATATCTCCCCTCTACCTCATCACTTCCTGTACATCTCATCACTCCCCGTACATCTCCCCTCAACTTCATCATTCCCTGTACATCTCTCCTCATCACTCCCTGTACATCTCCCCAATACCTCATCACTCCCCATACATCTCTCCTCAACTTCATCACTCCTCGTACATCTCCCTCAACCTCATCACTCCCTGTACATCTCCCCATAACTTCATCACTCCCCATATGTCTCTCCTCAACCTCATCACTTCCTGTACATCTCTCCTCAACCTCATAATTTCCTGTACATCTACCCACAACCTCATCACTTCCTGGACACCTCCCCTCAACCTCATTCCACCCTGTACATCTACCCTCAACCTCATTCCTCCCAGTACATCTACCCTCAACCTCATTCCACCCTGTACATCTACCCTCAACCTCATTCCTCCCAGTACATCTACCCTCAACCTCTTTACTCCCAGTACATCTACCCTTAACCTCATTCCTCCCAGTACATCTACCCTCAATCTCATTACTCCCTGTACATCTACCCTCAACCTCATTCCTCCCTGTACATCTACCCTCAACCGCATTCCTCCCAGAACATCTACCCTCAACCTCATTACTCTCTGTACATCTACCCTCAACCTCATTCCACCCAGTACATCTACCCTCAACCTCATTCCTCCCAGTACATCTACCCTCAACCTCATTCCACCCTGTACATCTACCCTCAACCTCATTCCACCCTGTACATCTACCCTCAACCTCATTCCACCCTGTACATCTACCCTCAACCTCATTCCTCCCAGTACATCTACCCTCAACCTCATTCCTCCCTGTACATCTAACCTCAACCTCATTCCTCCCAGTACATCTACCCTCAACCTCATTCCTCCCAGTACATCTACCCTCAACCTCATTCATCCCTGTACATCTACCCTCAACCTCATTACTCCCTGTACATCTCCCCACAGCTACAACCCTCCAAGTACATCTCCCCTCGGCCACATCCCTCTCTGTACACTTCTCTTCAGTCACATCACTCCCTGTACATCTCTCCTCAACCTCATCACTCCATGTATCTGTACACATGGATATTCATAAGGATAAGGTTGCTCAATTGCAATTTAAAAAAAAAATAAAAAGCCTAGCTGCATTTGTAACCACATAGTCAGAATGTCAAAACAGCCACAGCAAAGACTGTGCAAGAAATTTAATTGTCAAACCCGAGCTGCAGCACCTATCAGCCTTTTTCTTTTTCTAGAACTATTTTGCATAATTTTCTTGATCTCCCTTTATTGCAGGTGACAAGGTGGGAGCCTGAGATTTTCTAAACAATCACTAGATTTTTGTTCATAATCAAATGTAAAATATTAATTTTAAGTGAAAATAAATTGTACAAAGAACCAGGAATCAGTTAACCCTAGAGAGGTATGAGAGATTTTAGGTGACTTACTAATGACAATTTATTCAATTTATTTAATTTAGAACAAGAACAATGTATCTTATTTACACAGACTGATTTCTAAACACATTCGTTGTAGTTTAAAGACGTATTACTGTTAGCATTATGGCTCTGGAACTCTGATACACTCATACAAACCAACAAACCAACAATATGCACATTAGGGACATAAGGAGATAAAAGAGGGACAGAGAGATTTGAACCCAAAATAAGAACTGTCTCTCCCAATTAGTGACAGCTGGCAGGTATAGACTTGTCCTTGTTCAGTTCTGGTTGTTGTAATTTAGGAAAGATAACATCTCCTGCCTCAGTCTATTATATGGATGCTTTTGGGTTGGGCTGTGATATCCATCAGAACTGGTTTTGTCAGGAGAAGTCCAGCAACAGTAGACCAATTGGTTTTCACCATAACCATGTATTTGCCATCAGTTAGACTTTGGAATTCAACTGAAGAGATACACACTGATCAGCAACAACACTAAATACACTGACAAGTAAAGTGAAAAACATTGATTACATTATTACAATGGCACCTGTCAAGGGGTGGGAAATCTTAGGCAGTACGAGAACACTAAGTTCTTTAATTTCATGTATTGGAAGCAAGAAAAATGGGCAAGCGAAAAGATTTGTGTGACTTTGACAAGGGAAAACCAGTGATGACTAGATGAGTGGGTCAGTCATCTCCAAAACGGCAAGTCTTGTGGGGTGCAGGGGCGTACCTAGAGCATTTGGCACCCGGGGCAGATCCTGTGTTTGGCAACGCCCCCCCCAAAAACCTGTAAAAAATGTTAAAGGTTTTCTTTTTACAATTTGTAAACTTTGCAAAACCGCTGTCAGCCCCTCCTACAAAACCCTTGTCCTGCCCTGCCCCTCCTACAAAACCTCTGTCCTGCCCCTTCTACAAATCCTGTACTGCCCCATCTACAAAACCCCCGCAACCCCCTTCCACAAATCCCCTGCTTATCCCCCCTTATAAAGACTCCTGTCCCAATACAAAAACCCCGCCCCCTTCTACAAAATCCCTGTAGCCCCACACACACACATTTACAGGCAGACAGTCACACACTCAGTTACAGGTAGACAGTCAGCTACATACATGAAAGCCCTGCGGCGCTGTGCTTGGTCAGCTGTTTGCTTGTGTGAGCTGTACGGCACCCTAACTACCATGGGACACTGTGCGGCCACAGCTCACACAGCCCCCTCCAGCTAGGGCCGGTGCAAGGATTTTTGCCGCCCTAGGCAAAAGTAAAGTTTGCGGCCCCCCCCATGTGACATCACCATGCCCCACCCATATGATTTGCCATGTTAACTAACGCCAGTGCTGCAGTGCCGCTGTGTTTACATTAAAAGGCCTGCAGGGACAGGCTATAGACACCAGAACCACTACATTAAGCTGAAATGGTTCTGGGGAGTATAGTGTTTCTTTAATGTGAGGTAAATTAGAGCTTAGTGCCACGAATAATATACTAGATTGCCTACTTACAACCAGATGAGGATGATGATGGGCTCTAGCTGCAGTCTGGCTCCACTGGTCTGGTGCAGAACAGGCTTTCTGGAGGCGGTTTGTAACTGTGGTCACAAAAATCAATGTTCTGGGAGAACGGGAAGCAGCTCCATTTTTTGGGGGTCCTTTACACAGCTCAAGGTCTGGGTCCCAGGGTCTACCTTCATGTTCCACCAATGAGTTTGTTCACAGGGGGTGGAGTGTGTAGGGGATGTCCTGATATGTGTGTAAGGAATGCATTGTGTGAAATTGTGTTTGTATGTGTAAGGACTGCAAGGTGTGTTTCTGTGTATGTATGGGATGCATTGAATGTGTGTAAGGGGTGTATTGAGTGTGTGTAATGAATGCATTGTGTGTTTCTGTGTGTGTAAGGGATGCATTGTGTGTAACGGTTGCATTGCTTGTGTATGTGTGTCTGTGTGTGTAATGTATTGTGTGTTTTTCTGTGTGCAAGGGGTGCATTGTGTGTATGTGATGAATGTCAATCTCTCCTCCCGCTCCA